TTCACTAGTTTTATCTTTCATACACACAAAACATCTCGCATTCACTAATTTTATCTTTCATACACACAAAACGTCTCACATTCACTAGTTTTATCTCTTACATACACAACACTCTCGCATTCACTAGTTTTCTCTCTCACACAAAACACATTCACTAGTTTTCTCTCTCACACACACAACACTCTCACATTCACTAGTTTTATCTCTTTCATACACACAAAACATCTCACATTCAGTAGTTTTATCTATTACATACACAACACTCTCACATTCACTAGTTTTATCTCTTACACACAAAACGTCTCGCATTCACTAGTTTTATCTCTTACACACAAAACGCTCTCACATTCACTAGTTTTATCTTACACAGAAAACTCTCACATTCACTAGTTTCACCTCTCACATACACACAAAAAGATGGAAGAACACTCATCGCAGGCGTGGTAGCCGATGACAATGAAGCTATTGCTTCTGGTGGGGGTGTTCTCCAAGACCATAGTTGTAAAAAAGAATTTGTTCTCAACTGACTTCTATAGCTGAATCAAAGCTTAAAAATATAACGATCATGTTCTTATTAGATTTAAAATGTAATTATAAAGTTGTGCTTAGTCCAGAGAGCTGCATTTACGGTGTCTATGTACTCATTCTGGGGCTTCTGTGCCACCCCCTTCTCTGAGCCATGAACTTCACTGAGGCTGGCAGTTTAGATCACACTTGATTGTGTGAGGCACTGAGATAGGAAGAGGAGGATTCTCTGGCACGTGCACCCACTCTGTGTGTTCAGCACAGAACTGTTAATCCAAATCCCTGTTTGACACCATTGGAGCACTTAATATAAGAGATGTATAAGGAGCCCACCTGGAGAGCGTCTCAGCAGACTAAGGCTTGACCCCTGTGCACCCAGTCAGCCCTGTAGTTCCCACCATTGCCACCATGCAGCTAAACAGCACAAATTACTGTATCCCAGAGAGATGTGGAAGAGACACGTCAGCCACAAAAAACATTTGAGGTATTATCATAATGTAATAAAGCCTGTTATTTTCTTATATATAGCTCATATTCTGCTTTCGGTTTTAAAAATGGCTGAATGAGCACTATAGATTGAAAATTCAACTACTTTTGAAGCACTCAGTGCCCATTAGTGTAGGCCATTAGTGCGCTTTATTTCGGTGCCTTATGTTTGTTGCATTGTTTTCAGTTTAATTCCAAAGTGGAGGTCTATTTTTAAGAACTTATTGACTGGTCATTGAGATTAAAGGCCTTCTTTTTTCTAACAAAGCAGAACATTGTCCGTTAGACTCCTACTCCACCACAATGTAGTATACAGTATATTACTCTAATGTACCTCTTTCTTCTTCATCCTCACTAAGCACCTAGGTTATTGCCAGCTTGTGGACTTTTATTAACTATATGTTGTTGGAACAAGCATCATTGAAGCTCCTTTGTAGCAATCTCCAGACTTATCAATATATTCTGTTTTCTTTTGTCGGAAGTGCACCACAGCATCTCGCCTGTCTGCTCCAGTGTGCTGTATACAGTAATTGGAAGTCAAACCACATGTTTAAGAAGTTTGTACAGATGAACTACCCAGTCTTTATTGGTCTTTATAGAGTAGTAAGATGAAGAGTAATTTTAAAACCTTTCACTTCAAAGCAAAATTAGCTTTTTGTACCTCCCAAATACAAGTTTATATACATTTTATATCTGTTGTACAGAGTATGGATCAGGGGGAAAAATGTCAGTGTTTTATAAACTAGACCTGGATTGATGTTCTCAATTTTGTTTTTTTTGAAGCTGCAAGCCTTTAGGGAAGGTCTCTTGTAGATAAACTGTTTGCAAACATTGAGAAAATGAATACTTGGAGCATTTGAAAAACTGAACTTGCTTTGTGACAAAAAGCAATGCAGTCCTGAAGGGTTTTTGTGGAATATTATACTACCAGTGTGTCCATAAAAACTACATGGCCCCAGTACTAACCCACACATAAGATTCTGCTGGACCTAGAGTATTTGTCAGGTAAAAATGAGGATACGTGCTGGAATTTGTAAATATTTTGGTGTGTAAATGCTACATATTTTTTGCATGAATTGCATTTTTTCTACGTGAAAGCAGAGATACAGAAATTGTTACTAATTGTTATAGTTAAGTAGGGTTTCCTGGATGGCATTGAATCAATCTAAGATAGAATGAAGCTTTCAGGCTTAGAGCTGCAGATCCCACTGTTTAATATCAAAGATTAGTGCACTGCTGTCTCTTCTTTTATTTTTTCAGAGTAGTGTTAAATAATTACATTGCCATCTTATCTTGCTGAGTGCTGTTTACCTTTTAAACTTGTTATAAAGCGAGAGAGCCATTAGTGCATGTAGCATTGTGTTATAGTGCTGTTTGTCTGAGTACAGAGCGATACTCTACTCCAACACGTTAATAAATAGTCCTATCACCCTAAATGAGAATATAAGAACAGTTCCAATTAAGGGGAGACCATTCTGCTCTTGTTTAATAGAGCTAAATGATTCCATTCTACAGTTTTTTTCTTGGAAGAGTATAAGCTTCAAAAATGGTTGGAAAATGTGGCTCAGCCCACAGCCCACAACTCTAAACATGTGTCTTATGTACAGCATTTGATTCTAAATGCACTTCCATGTAACACTTGTCTTCTCTGGGTCATGTTTTCCTGTTGATGAAGACGTCTGCTGTGCTTTTTGCTTTTTCTGTGCAAGACTTCAAAGATTAATTTCTTTCAGGCTCTCAGTTTTAAGACGTTTCTTCAAGACACCGGAATGTATCTAAATGGTGTTCTCTGGCCTGATTCCAGTTGTGACCAACATTGTACCCACTATTATGCGTCACTTGATCATTGCAACACTAAGTGCTATAACCAAGCCACTGGTATATCTTCTATGTAGTGTATCTATTCCTTATCATGTTCTTAAATTTGTCATTGTTTCATTTTTAATTTCTGTATGTCTCAGTCTGTGTAATCAGTCATTCTAGGCAATTATGAAACAATAACACAGCAGGAATGGCATATTAATTCAATAACGGTGAGTGCAACAACAAACGTAACATATCAGTGAAAGGTCTGCCCATTGCCTCTGATCCAGAGTAGTATGTCTGTCACTAGTTTGTCTGGGATTATGTTTTTCTGGGATAACTTTAGTACTGCTGTCTGAATCTAATGCCATGGACCTGAAACATTATTTCATATGTGTAAATAAAAAGTACTAAAAGGCATTTTCCTGGGCTTGGAATGGTGTGTGGTCTGCATCCATCAAAAATGGCATCCATAAAAATGTTTTTGGCATCCATTCCTACCTGGTATCAATCTGATAAAATAATATTTACTATCTTTTTACTCATGATATCAGTTGCTAAACCTCTCATTTTGGATTTGTGCTGCCATTAAGCAATATCTGTAGCTCTCTAGTGGAGAAACTCAAACTCTCACAGCAATGATACCCACCCAGTGACAGGCCTTCAAAAAAGGTACACATCTTTTATCTCAGCCCAGTCAGTGACCTTTGTACTGTATCCGTTTAGGCACACATTACTGAGTAATCATCACTGGAAATACTTTTTCATTCCCAAGAGTACGGTTAAGTCCTTGTGACATTTTGCTGTGATCAATTTTGCATGGTCACTTTGCAGTTGAAAAAGATTTGCTCACACACTGTGCACACAGGTATTTGTATTTTAGCGTGTTTTCTCCCATTGTGTATTGCGGTTTAACATAGCTGTGTGTGCTTTTGTCTGATTCTATAGTGCTTTACTACAGCATGCTTCTTGTGTCATGGTGTATCACGGCAGACCCTTAGAAGAAAAAGGCACTGCAGGCTCTCTTGCAGTCAGTGCAGAGCTGCACACTTCAGCTCAACATTTCCTTTGACACTGCTGCTGTCAGGCACCAAGAATGGAAAAGAAGGGGATGATTTCAGATGGTTAGATTTCTTACTGATATTGTTCTCCTCCGTATTGATTTTCAATGTGAAAGAAAGGGACCAAAGCCAGCAGACTGATCCTACCTTCATTAAAATTTGATTCAGTTCCTGTTGTTTAAAAGTGTGGCTCTGTGCCGCGTCCATGGCAGTAGTTGTCATAAAACTACTGTATATTGGATGCATCTCATCTATTCATTTAAAAACAGCTTCTCGTTGCAATCTGTTACTCAGCTGGATTTCACTGCATATTCAGAGAGTTGTTATTATTATCATTATTAAGTAGCTGCTGCACAGCTAACTGACTGATTGCTCTGAGCAGGTGAGCCTTGAGCTCATTTCCCTGACTCATTAGTCAAATGAACATGTCCAAGGTCTGTTAGCCTTGTTAATAATTAATACGTGAGGAGTTTTCAGAACCTTTTTTAGAGTCTTCAGGAAGGGATTAATTTTGCTAGATTAGAACCTGGCACTGGACAGATCTTCAGCGCAGCATTTTTACTGTTTCTGATAAAGAGTGTCTTTTCATTTGCTATTGTGCCAACATGTATAGCACAGATGCTTGTCCTTATATGCTTATATGCAGATTTCTCATTGCTGATTGAAATATCACATTGTAGAGTTATTTTCAGTCACCAGCTGTCTTTGTGTCAGTTGTTGACATCACAGAAAACTTCAAAGATTACCTGGATTATGAGCATTTTGGAGTTCAGTGTCTCTCTTTAGCCCGGCTTTGTGCTTGTTCAGTGATCCTTCCTATTGCATCCCTACTGCTTCCCAGAAGCAGCTAGAATAGGCTAGAGGTTTAAAGCACAGTTCCATATGTGACAAGGTGGACTGTGAGACTCCAGCACTGAGCACCCTAAAATTTAATCTCCATTCCCCGAATAATGACCCTGCCTGTGATGTGATATCACTAATCATTAACTAATGTTATATCTAACAATAACACAAATATTCGGGAAAGGATAAAACAACCCATGTCTCCTATTGTATTCCAATCATTTTCCCATGCTTTTTAGTATTTTGCCTTGATTACAGTGCATAAAAAAACTGGTACACTGCTTTGCACGATGTCTTTATTATTTGTTTTAATAAATGACAGCCGGTTTGAGCCTGATAGCTTTTTATTCATATTTGTTAGGTTTAAATGAGATATTTATTCATATTTAAACATATTGGTTTATTTGTGTGGTCTGCGAGAAGTAGCAGTTCATGGTTCATGCTTGCCTTGACAAGATAAGAAGCAATATTCTAACGGCAGCACAAAGATGTGAAAGCTGCCCCTGTGGGAGCAGAGCCCATGTTGTTTTAGGGATTCTCCTTGGTTGTTGTAATCTGGTCATCTGTCATCAGATCAGCCTTGATCATGTACTGCATGGACTGCTCGAGCTGAAGGTTTGTGCGTGTTCCGTTTGTAAGTACTGTAAATCATCCTTAAGAAAGCCATTACAATACTAACCATGGAAATTGCTGTTTTGCAGGCTGTATGGAATAATTGTGAATAATTGGTTTCTTCACCCTTTACTGAACACAGAAAGAGAATGACAGCTGGTAACTCCAGAGTGCTATTAGCAATCAGTGCTAAAGAGACAAGACACTTTTTACTGCTGAAAATCATGCGGCAGACAGATCGCTATGAATAGCAGTAATTGCAGTAGTAGTGCATCAATAATAGTAGAAATATTAGCTCAAACAAGCATGTTCATCAGTTTAATAAGTGTAATAACTATTGATTGTTACAATAAAGTTGTTTGGCTCAGATAGATAACATTATTGAACATTCATTTATTTCAGTAAGAGGTAAACAGATCATTGTAGTGCACTTCCACACTGGAAATGCAAAGTATTACTAAGTACTACATGTGAAAGGCAAACCTTCTGAGCTGCAGAATTATAATAATTACCCCAGTGCCGTAGTTTACATTCCACAGGTGATGTTCATTAAACAGTGTGTATTAGAAAATAAATTGTCAGTGTATAGATAAGGTTTGTCTTTCCGTGTTAATGTTGGAGCTGACATTGACGAATGCCGACCTCCCAGGCTGGGCTCTCTGAGCTGCTGATCACTGCAGTGCCCGGCAGGAGGGGAGATGCGTGCTCCGGTGTGGTCCTGGGCAGTTCAGATGAGGCTTCTTCTTAGATTATCATTACTGGATTATTACCTTGAGAAAAACAAAAACCTCAGATACGCACATGCTGCAGGTATATTCAGAAACTAGCTGTAGCTGTATGTTTTTGAGACCATGTTTGCTGACCATGTATAGAAGTGTTTCAGAGCACTTTGCTTTATAAGGTGTGAAGGGGTAGATATTTAGACTTGACCACCGAGAGCAATCTGTCTGACATGAGGCCTGGCCCAAACTCAGGTCCAGCAGACCTGGAGGAAAGCAGCCACAGTGACTGCACCAAAGACAAATGACATTACTGTGAAACAAATGTTTTTAAGATTATTGTTTTTCTAAGATGAAAATCTTTTCCTCAAATCTTAACATGTTGATAGATTACTAAGATATACAGTGGGCTCTTTCAGTCCATGCCTATGCAGGCTTTTGGTCCAACTCTCCCTTAATTTGGTAATTGATCTTACTGCTGTAGGTCACTTAAATAATTAAGAATTACCGTCAGCAAAGACTTTTAGTGCAGTGGAAGGCTCAAGGTTGCCTTCCCATAGTTAAACTGTCTCTGTCTCAGGAAGGCTGTCAGCGTTTACCATGTTTGCTCTCTGTCTCCTCTCCCTAGCACGGCGAAGTACAGTGTGCTCACCTTCCTGCCACGCTTCCTCTATGAGCAGATCCGAAGGGCTGCCAATGCCTTCTTCCTCTTCATCGCCTTGCTGCAGGTAAGGCTGCTGGCCGCTCCCAGTCACTGACTGACCAGAGCCTCCGCCCTAAACACCTCTGCTCTTCTCTGACTCCCCAACGTGAAGCAAGCAGTGCACTAACAAACCACTTGGATGTTATGTATTCAGTCATGTCTGGCACTGATGAGATAGGGGCTGACAGGGCTATTCTGTACAGGGTAGATCCAGTTACACCCAGTTTTGGATTCCTAATGAATAGAAAAACCATGCATGGTGCTCCAAACCCACCAGTCTTGTGTTGTTTTGTCAGCATGTTGGCTCTGCGTCAGTCCCTTCTTTTCCACTGCAGACTGAGACGAAATTCAGTCCTGCACTCTTTTAAAGCTCACTTCCATGGATCCACCATTTGGACAACATCATTTTTTTATGTCTCATGATCATGGGGAAGTGAACATCCACTTCACTTCAAGGGCAAAGAGTTAAAAACCAAGGTCTAGCGTTTTTCCATGTGTACAGTATGTAGACAGAGAATCAAAAACATCCATTTGCCAATCCGTAGTTAGGGCTGTGAAGAGGTGTGATTTTAATTAGTTTTGCTGTATTGGCCTTGCTAAAACCTGGTCATGAGAGTGGGGCTGTCACATACTGTACATAAGAACTCTTTCTCTTACATAAGAGAAAAGCCATTGAGCTGCTGCATGGGTGTGAAGGGTGAGAGTGGGGTGGAGAGAGGGATGAGAACCTGGGTAAATTACCATCCTGATGGACAAGACTAGGGTTTGACCTCCTCCCGAAATCTCAGTCAAAACTCCATTTAAGTGAATCCCGTTTGTCCTTTTTAGGGCAGTAGAACAGCAATGACCATGCGATCAGTGAATTTTTGCCTCATTTGTTGGGAGAACTGGCTTTTCTTTCCCTAGTGCTCTTTCTCCTGATGAGAAACTGTTTATCTGTACAGACCCTTCACCCTGACAAAACACAGCAACTGAGAACCACTCAGATAGCATCTCTGAAGATTTACAATCAGTGAAAAATGAGATAAGATTGTATATATAAACTCTGTAGGGTTCTGTGCTGAAGGTTTGTTTTTGCAATTTAGATTCATAGCCTAGCATCATGGAATGTATAACTGCAAGTACGGTTGCTCTGAAAATAGGAGCAAAATATGTATCATTTAACATCCTTGGGTTCACTGACGCATGTACAGTACACAACCTTCTGAAAGAAAGATGGCTGTGATTAACAGTACATAAACATAGAATGTAGCTGGAGAGTTTGAATCCTATCTCCAGACTTTCAAAGGCAGTTCCAAATGACTTAAGTGTAATAATATGACCCAGTGGACCTCTGACTTCATGTGAGCATGACCTAAACAAATACTCGTACAAGTCATGGAATGTCATTGATAAGAACGGCCAAAAAGTCAGTCCCTTTCTTTGGAAAGTAGTTTCACGACTGTGATGTTCTGAGCTGTGAAACCATTCAAGATGTCGTGGTGCTGAATGTATTTCATGATGTCTATTGTCGGTATGTTATACCGAAGGATTTGAGCTCTGGTAAAACCTGATATAGCTGCTCTTGGGATTAATAACACTGCTTTCTCAAAACAGCGATTAACCAGTCAGTTAGAGAATCAGTGCCTTTTTTTAACCCATTTCTCCAGCAAATCCCAGACGTGTCTCCCACTGGCAGGTACACCACCCTGGTGCCCCTCATCTTCATCCTGACTGTGGCTGGAATCAAAGAGATTATTGAGGACTATGTGAGTGTGCTGTTCTGCCATTCTGACTCATAGCACTGCATGAGTCCCTGCAACCCTAGAGTCACAGCATAGATCTATAAAGAATGGGGATTATTATCTGCAGATTGGCTCTTATGATAACCAGGCTGATGTTCTGTAAAGCATTTGTATTTTCATTAAGATTTTATGGATTGTTTGTTACATGTATATATAATTTAGATAAATAGCAAAAAGTGCTTGTAATTTAGTTTTATACCTTCCATATAACTTAGTCTAAGTGATTTTAGACATTTCATCTTTCCCTAAGGTGGCATAATAACCTGTTCTTATTTGAATCCCATAAACAAGAAATTAGGGATGTGGAAATTTGTGCATTTTGTTTTAACTTTACTGTTGATTTTACCACAGAAAAGGCACAAAGCAGATAACACTGTCAACAAAAAGAAGACCATAGGTAAATCAATTTCTTGTCAGAACTGTGTTAATCAATGAATGTGGCGATGCATGTGAACTGATTATCATTTAAATTGAATTCTTTAATTGATGGGGAAGCTTCTGATTTTTTATAAGAGCTCAGGAAGACTTCAAGAACTTAAGAAAGGTTACAGACAAGAAGATCCATAAATTAGTAGCTAATTGATCCATAAATTTGATTACTTCATCTCCTGCCATAAAATTATTTTTAATTTAATTCGTTTTCAGTCTGATTGCATTGCAGTGCCCTGTCTTAGTAGACAGGGATGTTAAAATCTGCCTGTTCGCTGATACAAACAGTTGTTTATTCTCTTCCAGTTTTAAGGAATGGAGCCTGGCAGACGGTGATATGGAAACAGGTATGTAGGGGTATTTTAGAGCAGGGGGTGTCCACTCCTGGTCCAGGTTTAGAGAAGGGGTTCCCCCTGGAAGAGAAGACTGAGGCTATGAAATGGTTTTGAGGGATGTTATTAATGAAGCCTGCTGCTTTTCCCAAGAACAAAAGCTTTCTTTGATGAATGGAGAGTGAAAGTTAATTTTAGCGCATTCTTTTAATATTCCACGAAGGTCTGGCTGAATAATGCATGAGTGAACGACTGGGAGCAGCCATGTGAGTTATGTGTCGAGACTTTGACGTACTTTACTGCTCTTCAGCTAATTGAATGGGCATGTCTGGCGCTACACTTCATGTGGAAAATCTCACTAATTATAGGTGAAAACCTTTAAAATGCACAATTATCCATAGGCGTAGACTTTGTGAAAACCAGGGCTTTATCCTAAAAACATGTTACTGTGTTAGAAATAGGTCTCATTTTCAAAGTGGCTGGACATCATTGTCCTCCTGTTGGAAACACAGAGGCTGTGTGAGTGAGGTGTGATCACAGGACAATCCAGATGTTTGTACAGGGCTGCACTGGTGCTCATGTAAATAGGATCCATGTAGTGGCAGAAGACTTACAGGAGCACTTCGGAAACTTTGGATAGCGAAGGATATTTAGTCTCTTGTCTCTGTTTCCACCTTGAACGTTTATAATGAATGTCTGAAAGCCTGTTTTTAAAGTAACATCATGCCTGGGTGCATGGTTATATTATTGTAAAGTTGTAAAGAAATCCCAGCAACACTTTTATACAGTATATTTAATTTTATAATGCTTCTAATAATAAAAATCTATTTTTTCATTTCTTTGGCTTTCTCTTTGTTTATAGATTTTAGTTTTTCCCCTTAGGCTATTTCTAACATGGATGTCCCTTTAACATGGTAACAGTGAGCTAGCTTGGGCAAGGGATGCTGTAGTGTACTAACACTTTTCTGCACTCTTCCTCTTTCTCTTTGCTCTTGTGCTGTCGCAATACCGCCTCTGGTACACTAGGTGGCAGTAGGAGACTTTGTGAAGGTCACCAATGGGCAGCATTTCCCAGCTGATATGGTCATAGTGTCTTCCAGGTCAGACTTTGCCATGTGTTGTGGCTCTGTGCATGTCACCTCCTGCTGGTCTTAGTGAGTTTTGCGTCGTGTGTTTGCTGTGAAGCTAAACAGAGGTTAATGCCTTTCTGATTGTCTTGGCTTAATTCAGTCTTATTTTGCTCTCTCAGCTTTACAGTACACCAGGCTGGCTGGGATATAGTAAGGCATGCTTAGTGCTGTAAAAGGAGTATTAAAACATGGTTAAGAAATGTAATTCCCTATATTTTGTTGTCATGCATGTAATTGAGTAGGTTTTCCTCCGATTCACTGTGGCACAGCTGCAGCAGAGTGTGATGCGAGGCATGGTGCAGCACATCACACGCAGACCACTGTTTGAACAGCAGATTTTAATCAAATTTAGCATACAAAATCATATCTAGCATTATTGTACAGAGAATGAACAGAGCCTGTTTATAGGAATATGTCATCTGAATGGCCACAGAAAGTTTAATCAGATATCTCTATTAACTAATACTAAATTATGGATCATCACAGTGTCAAATTAATAATGGTATGATTTCCCCAAAACATGTGATTTTTATGCCAGCTGTAGTTTATTTTATATTCAACAGAAGGAAAGTGCAGCTTTGCATTCATTTTGTATTCACTGTTCTCATAATTTGTATATTTGGTTTCTCAATTAAACGGTCTTTGTGCCGGGAAATAAAAATTCTGTGTTTTAAAGCTGCTATTTACACTGAGAAATGTGTTGTTGCTTGAAGTTATGGTACAGACAAAATTGATGGGGTGACCAACGATGACCAACCCCTCAGCACTGTTCCAGTTCCATCTCTGGCACTATAAAAGTCTGATTTGCGACACACACAAAACTAAAATCATCCATATCGCAGCTCTGCTGTGCATTTCAGGGGAAATGGGAAATCCAAATATATGATTTCAGTGATCTTAGACAGTTTTTTGCTTTCAGCCAACATGACTATCTTAAAATGGATATCCTGCTACTTGTACATTGCAGTTGCTGCCTCATTTGTAAACAGTGCAGGCTTGTGTCATTACCAATCAATGGCGGCTGAAAAACACCTTCTAACAGTGACAAGATCACTGGCTTCATTACCAGTCATTTTCTTTACTCAGAAGCACAGACTGGCATGGATCAGATGAAATGCTTATTAAAAGAGATAATAAATCACATTCCTGTTCTTTGCCTCTGTGGCAGTCTACATTTGTACAAATTAAAACATAGTAAGTTGAGTCCTCAATCATCAGTCTGTGGGAAATGATGATGGTGATGATGTTCAGAAGACATATTCTTATTAATATTGTTTAGTACTGCAAAACTACCGAAATTAAAAATGTAAAATGAGGGACGGAGTTGGAGACTCGCGTGTATTATCTTCCGACAGGGAGTGAGTGGTCTCTGATGGAGCCTCTCTGTTTTGGTCTTCCCACAGTGAACCCCAGGCCATGTGTTACATCGAGACCTCCAATCTAGATGGGGAAACCAACCTGAAGATACGGCAGGTAGGCCTTTTCCCAGTCACACTGCACATGCGTGCAGCGGACCAGTGCAGTGGTGCTGGACAGTGTGGAGTTCGAAGGGCATTTGTATTGTGTACAGCCTGAGTTTCTGGTTCATTTGTCCTTCACAATGTTCCTCTGTGCTTTAAAGCCCACACCATGCTGACTGCATGTATTCACATCCAGTTTCTAGCACTGATGTCCACTACCCCTGCCTTGCCGTTTGTCTTCTAGGGCTTGCCTCTGACAGCGGCGGTACAGTCCAGCGAGGACTTGGTGAACCTGGCTGGCCGGCTGGAGTGCGAGGGGCCCAACGGACACCTGTATGACTTCACTGGCACTCTGCGTCTGGATGACCACAAGTACGTCTGCCCTCACACCTGCTCCTCCCCATGTGTTATTGACTTTAGGGTTATTTTTTGTGTGTGTAATTACTGTAGATATCATCACTGTTGTTAGCAGTGTTATGAACAGCCGTGCTAAAAATAATTACTTAATATATGTATTCCAAATAATTTCAAACATTATTTCAAAATCATTCTATAAGAATATTTAAATATTAAATCTGGCCTGATCTGGATAGAGTTAATAATTAAAATGCATAAATACAAAATATTATAAATACTGTAAGACATTGCTCATATTTTATTTTTTCCACTGAATAGGATCTCTATATATTTATGCAGTTGTTTTCTTAAATCTGTCCACTGAAAACATTATACTGGTTTGTTTCAGTCCAGTCCCTCTGGGGCCAGACCAAGTGCTTCTGCGGGGGGCCCAGCTCAGGAACACCCAGTGGGTTGTGGGAATTGTAGTCTACACTGGACATGACTCTAAACTCATGCAGGTCAGTTGCTATGCACTTTATATACAGTAGCAGTGGGCCCCTGACCAACTAATTATTTACGAGGTCCCAGTTTTATCTGATCCTATACCTCTCTTAAATGTATAAATATATTCAATATAAACATGAATTAAACCATCTTTAGATACTTGAGTCCCAGAAGGATGAAATGCACACCACAGTGTTCTGGATATAATTATTGATTAAAAAATTGTATTTGATGGTGTAATGACGGGTGTTCTTCTACCCTGCAGAATTCCACCAAGGCACCCCTGAAGCGCTCCAATGTAGAGCGGGTGACCAACATGCAGATCCTGGTGCTGTTCTGCATTCTCCTGGTGATGGCGCTCGTGAGCTCAGTGGGTGCAGCCATCTGGAACAAGCAGCACACCGAGGCGGCCTGCTGGTACCTGTCCCGGGCAGGTGAGGGATGTTCCCTGGATGGCACCCACTAGTGCTTCCGCGAGACTTGCAAACCTGCTCTAGCACAGGGGTCTTCAGCTCCTGGCTGGAGGGGTTCTCCAGTAGGGTATGTTGTTAACAGTGTAAGACTTAAGCACAAGGAAGCCTTGACTAGACAAGGTGAACTCTACAGGTTTGAAACTGTCAGTGTTTCAAGGGGACCTAGACAACCATCTAGATTCCTGTCCTGGTAGATGGGGGGGCACTATTCTGCTTCACATGCTCGGCTTAAGAAAATTCTAACCTTCAGTATCCTCCCCCGCCAACTGCAGCTGATATTTCCACCAACTTCTGGTACAACCTGCTGACCTTCATCATCCTGTACAACAATCTGATCCCCATCAGTTTGCTGGTCACCCTGGAGGTTGTGAAGTTCACACAGGCCCTCTTCATCAACTGGGTGAGTGAACTGGGGACAACCTTCCTGTGCCACTGTGAACTGGGGTACCCTCTGTGTGTAGCCTCAGTGATACTAAGGTCAGCACAATTAATTGGACGGATTTGAGACATTTGCACATTTAGGATGTGTTTCAGTCGTGGGCAGTCATGCTATGCTTGTGCTTGCATCCAGGACACAGAGATGTACTACGCTGAGACTGACACTCCTGCTATGGCCAGGACATCCAACCTCAATGAGGAGCTGGGCCAGGTGAGGACTCTATCATACCTTTTCTTAGCTAGCAAGTCAGGATTAAAATCTGAACTCCAGATGTAACTTGGTCCAATGCACTTTTTTCATTCCCAACAGGTGAAATATCTTTTCTCTGATAAAACCGGAACCCTGACATGTAATGTGATGCATTTTAAGAAGTGCACCATTGCTGGGATTACCTATGGGTGAGTCAGAATAAGACCAGCCTATCAGAACCATTATCTACTGTATGTGGCTATACAGTACATCAGTTCAGGGTCTGAAAACAGATGTTCATTAGTTAGTCGAAATTGGAAAGGATTAACACTCCCTGGTGGATGTAGTACATACATCTAACTGTTAGGAAACCACAATTTGACAAAAGCATTGGATTATAAATCCTATTTATGAACCTGGAGCCTGGATGTCAAGTGCCTTATTGAATCACATATCCTGCTTTACACACTAATATATGATGTTGAAAACTACCTTATTATTGATCCATGCTGAGCAGTATCCTGAAACTTGTGTTTGCTTTCAGCCACTTCCCAGAGCTGGAGAGTTATCGCTCAATGGAAGATTTCAGGTATGTTTTTCCATGCGGATCATCAACAATATTCATAGGACACATATACAGTGTTGTTCTTTTATTCTCTCATGGAGATATAGCGACTGTAATCTGAATGTGTTGGCAAAAACGTCTTGAATTTACAGTATTACATCAAGCAGGTGCTAAGTTCTGTATTGTGTTTTTTTTCTTATTGTGAGTTCTATATTGTGAGGTTACAGCAAGCCGTTCAAAGATTGCTGTGATAGGTCACCACCTGCTGTCAATGCGTGGTATTGCACATTTCCCTGCTGCACTTGCATCAATATGGGTACAGTAGGTAGGTCCCTTTTCAGGCCATCAAGGCCCATGGGGGGAATGGGGGGCAAGGGCCAGCATTTTTCTTGACCATCCGACACTGGAGGTGGAGGTGATGTGGCCAGCATCACACTCCGGCCGGCCTATTACCCCCGGAAGGATTAAGCCCCGGTACTCATTTGGAAAGCAAGCTAAGTGGAGCTGGGAGCCGTCGGGAAGGAATTAGAGTAAGCTCCATCGCCTGCCCCCGCCTGCGATTGAACCCGGGACCTTCTAGTCAGGAACGAGACACCCTTACTGCCTGTGCTACCGTGGCTCCTCCATCCATAGGGTATTTCTCATGATAATTTTTAAAATGTAATCAAGGTTTTTGATTGTGCAGTGAGAGAGAAGTTTTTAATTTAAAATTAAGTAATAAGACTTTATTTGTTTTATTCATTTTCTTTGGACGCTTTTGCTCATCTTCTTGCTAAAATGCACACAGTGAGTACAGGGTTATACAACCCTGTCTACTGTGTGGCTGGTGGTTAACCTTTGTTCCTGCTGCTGGGGTGTCTGTGATGCGTGGTTTTGTGAATACTGGAATTGTTTTCCTCTCCCTGCAGTAATCTGCCATCAAGCAGTCACAGCTCCACTGAATTTGACGACCCAGCACTCATACAGAACATTGAAAAAGACCATGTATGTTTTTTCAAATGCTGTTTTATTGGGATAGACATTCCTCAAATCAACACAATGTTATTTTCCGTAACAGTGCTTTGACCTCCTCCTTCCCTCTGTGTCTCTCCCCCTCCCTCTAGCACACAGCTCCACACATCTGTGAATTCCTGACTATGATGGCTGTATGTCACACTGTTGTTCCAGAGAGGACTGGAGACCAGATCATCTACCAGGCCTCTTCTCCAGGTCAGACACTCGTACTGATGCACTAACAGGCACAACTATGAGGCAAAATATCATAGCTGGTCACCACATTACTGTATGTTTTTAGAAACTTTACAATTAAGGTTTTTCCTACACAATATATTTAATCAGTCTAGCTGCACTCAGGAGCACGAAGCCTGTTAGAGAAGATGATGTCGGCCATTTGGACTCTTAGCTTCCCTGCACCTACCAGTCCCTGAAGTGATACTGATATGATGTGATCCTGTTTCATTTTTGTGTTTTGCAAATTTTAAACCTGCTATTGTCATTTTATTAATTTAATGTATTTTTTTAGATTTTTGTTGTTGCATGTCATCGCATGCTGTTATTTCCTTTGTACATGCACATAATGTGAACCCAGCGCACATTTGTCACCGTAGATTAGGACATTAGCAAAGAAAAACTGATCAGAATAATGTTGTCTCTTCCAGATGAGGGGGCTCTAGTCAAAGGAGCTAAAGGGCTGGGCTTTGTGTTTACGGCAAGGACACCACACTCGGTCATCATCGATGCGGTCAGTGCTCAGGACCATTCTTTTCTGTGGAAGACTTCCTTTAGCTGACAGTCAGAGCGGTATTAATATATTGACAAATTATAATTAATACATTAATCAAATTAATTTATCCTGCATGAAACTATGTAATTTCAGAAGTAATTCATCTTTACGTAGTCCTGTCTTCTTAAAACCCTAGTATTGCAATGATTAGCCTTCTCCATCTAAAGACAAGATGTGCAAAATGTAACCAGAAAGTTGCAATTGTGATCCGAATGTTTGGACCATGCTGCGCTTTTGCTTGTTGCTGCTATATTGGGAGCAAACCCCGTTTTATGCATCAGGTAAGAACTAGGATGTTGATGCAGGAGGTTAATCTTTATATTGTGGGTGTGAAAGTGCTGTAAGCATTTGGAACTCTTTTTTTGATACTACAGGGCTAAGTGATGCTCGGGGCAAGCTTTCAGGTGATGGAATGTATTGTTATGTTTCAGAGGGGGAAGGAGCAGAGCTATGAGCTGCTGAACGTACTGGAGTTCTCCAGGTACTGATGCCCCAGGTGTCCACTTTACACTGCCCTACTACATGCTGCGTGCTAGCCTACTGGACACTACACCATTCTTACTACCCTAATGTACGCAGCCCCAGAGCACAATCACATTATACCAGAGTGCCCTGCCCCACTGTACACTGTGCAATATCCCACAGCACACTGCACACTCCCACACTGCACACTGTCCTACTGTCCACTGCACACTGTCCCGCCACACTCTCCCTCACTGCACACTGTCTCTCTGTCCACTGCACACTGACCCTCCCTCACTGCACACTGTCCCGCCGTCCACTGCCCTCTCCCTCACTGCACACTGTCTCTATGTCCACTGCACACTGTCCCACCACACTCTCCCTCACTGCACACTGTCTCTCTGTCCACTGCACACTGTCTCTCTGTCCACTGCACACTGTCCCACTGTCCAGTCCAATCCTGAACATTGACTGTCAGTCCTGGAAGCTAAAGGCAGGAGTGAAAAGCAGGATGCTGTCACAGTGAGACGATAACGCCTGCTCTGTCTTACAGTAACCGGAAGCGGATGTCGGTCATCGTGAGGACTCCGACAGGGAAGCTTCGACTGTACTGCAAGGGTGCTGTGAGTAACACTCTCCTCACCACCCACCTGCATCCTGCAAACAAGACAATCAAAAGATGCTATTCTTAAAACAAATTATGATATTCACTTACGGGGTCTTGCACGTAACAGTACAAGGGCTGAATTTCCTACTGTGTAACATGGAACATTTTGTTAATCCAAATGTAAACTTTATGTATTTTTTTTATAATATTGGGATCTAAAAATCTAAAATCTAATCGAAAAATGCTAGTGTATTAGACATTGTCAATGAATAATCTCATTAGAGTTATGTGTTCAGCGACTGTTTTTTCCCCAACCAAGCGATATGTGCTACGTATGTATGTGTGTATTTACAGTCTACAGTATGTCTGTACACTAGATTGTATCCATGTCAGCTAAGAGTACTGTGCTGTGTTCTGTATGTTTCCAGGACAATGTGATTTTTGAACGGCTTGCGGACGACTCCCAATACAGAGACCTCACCATCTCCCACCTGGAGCAGTTTGCCACCGAAGGTATGCTAGGCTCTTGGAGGAGGTGGAGCAGATTAGTGATGGGTTCATCTCTTTGGTTAGAAAAGAAGTCAGCGCGACTTCTAGACATAGAAATGTTGTCACACAAGTGTGAGTTACAAGTGAGAAACTGTGGCCTGACCTTCTAGCTTCAATTTGTTTATTTCCAGACTCTGTGTAAGAGTGTGCTCTGCCCCCACTCTCCTCTCTCTTTCAGTGTGAGAGAGTTTGAGCAGTCCTCTGTGCCCTTTTCTCCTTTTTGTCTCTCTTAGGGCTGCGGACGCTGTGCTTTGCCTATGTTGACCTGACAGAGAGTAGCTATCAGGAGTGGCTGAAGGAGTATAACCAGATCAGCACAGTGCTGAAGGACCGTGCACAGAGGCTGGAGGAGTGTTATGAGGCTATAGAGAAGGTAGTTGTCCAAGTGCTGCTCGGAGTTCATACAGTCGCTGGAAGGGCCTTCCTGTTTTGTGGAAAACGGTAGATGGTCCCAGTTGGTGTGAGATTTGATTTTTGTTTTTTCACATTGTGCAGTGTGTTTGCAGTGTCAGGATACAGTAAGTAAACCGAGGAGTGAACAATATGCAAGCATATTACAACAGAAGATCAAGATTCAGATCAAATGAATATAAAAACAAATACAGTTTGCAAATAATTATGGGAACCCGACATGTTGCAAGATACAGTATACTGTACTTAAAGGTGATATCTCCAATGTTTTAAAGAAACCACACCAAAGATTTATGGAAATCTTAAAATGCAGGCATTGTTTCTGTCCTATTACGACAAATGGATGGGCCCCAAAGGGGGCAGCAACTGTGGCCAGGGGTCAGCAGTGAAGAGGACAGAGTCGCAGTGGCAGTAATGTTACAGGAAGCCCGACTGTGGGGCTACTGACACAGTCAGGGACAGTGGAGTGTAAGCCTGTCAGATGGGCCCATGCAGCAACACACAGTCTGGCCAGCAAGAGGCAGTGTGGACTGCCACATCATACCAAGCACACCCAGTTTCCATGAAAGCTTCATTTATGTGTAGGCTCAGCCTTCTGCAGATATTAGTGGCCATCAGAAGGTTGTCATTGTTTTCCCCATCAGGTGACTGGTAACACTCTTGACAGTAGAGGTTTGTTGTGTTTGTTATTTCCATTCTTCAAAAGAACCACGACAGCTTCTTGATAGCTTCTTGTTTATTTAGTCTCCCTGATAAATGTTATAGTTCAAAATAATGAAATACTGAATTACAAGAAAAAAATAGAGATCTGCTGCTGTCAGACACATGCGTGGGACTTCTTTGGAACTGGCAGCCAAAGCTTTATGTGTTAATATACAGTCCAGTGAGCACTAATAACCCTGCTGTTTGCCTTCACCATCTAAACATCCTCTAATTGAATACCAGGCCAGCACTGGCCCTGGCTGACTGCACTGTTCATCTGTAACATTGTGCTGCCAGTGAGTATCAAAGAGTCCGTGGAAAACACTCTGGTGTCCATTATGCTCACTGTTAGAAGTGCACTCATCCACACTGCTGGTGACAGATCTCCGTAGCACCACTAGCCATTATAAACCCAGTCCTGTAGATACTGCAAAGTGCAGGAACAAAGATAAATGATTTTTTTCTGGATTTATTTTGTTAGACTCTGTCAGACCATGAAGCACATGACACAATTCCAGATTGAGCAGATTGCCACTGTTCAGCAACTAACAAGTCATTCACAGCCTGTAAGCCTATAGACAATAACCTTCACCCAAGTGAATTTCCTGTCTTCCTTTTTTCCTTAGAAAATATACTCTTTTGGAACATGACAAGATGGCAAAGCTCTTTGAGTCAGCTGGTTAATGTCCCCTGCTTTGTGAACTAATTTTTGGAAAACTAAACTGGCCATCTCCCTACATGCACTGCTTGATCTCCAAAGTGTCATTGATGTGGCAGTCTGAGAGTCAGCTCTATCCCTGCAGAACCTTCTACTGCTGGGTGCCACTGCCATCGAGGACAGGCTCCAATCTGGCGTCCCCGAGACCATAGGGACACTGATGAGGGCTGATATCAAGATCTGGGTGCTGACGGGGGACAAGCAGGAGACTGCCATTAACATTGGTGAGTAGAGTCATACTTAAGTTCTCACACGGTATCTCTGTCACAGTTGTCTAGGTCTCCAGTGTGCCCAGCTCATTTACACAGAAAATAACAAAAGTTCTGTCATGGCAAGCAGAAGAGTATTTGACACATCATTGCTCTTTTTCGCTGCCACAATGCCTTTTGCTAGGTATGCTCCTGAAACGTGTTTCTTGTTGGGGAAAGGGTTTTAATTTGTAAGGTCACAAAAGGGCCATGTCAGCTAGGTCTGGTTTTTGAAAAACATTTGAGAAAAATAAACCATGCGGCAGCTGCTGGTGAGTTGCTGTGAAGTTCCAGATGAGTTGGCTTGATCCCTATTTGTAACAGTGAATTACAGAGCAGAGATCAATTTTACAGGGTAATGTTAACCAGCTTGGGATCAGGTCACCATGGTGTGAGGGCAGCTGCCATGTGTAGGACCTACAGCATAGGACACACAGCAGTGTACTACACATTTTGTTTATTAATTTATTTGGCTGGGGCTTTTATCCACAGCAACTATCATTGTGACCCATCTATACAGCTGGGCATTTTACTGGGACAGTTTGAATGAAGCACCTTGTACAAGGGGTACTTGTACTTGTTTGAGCCCATAGCCTTCAAGTTACAAGATGGAGTTCTAACTGATCCTCCACACTGCTATTTTGGTATTGAGAGTAAAACCCACCTCTTATGAGAACAGAAGAAAATTATGAGAATAAGATGGTCAGCCCAACAGACCAGCAATCATGGAGTGAGTCTCTCCCTGCATCAAGTCTAACTCTGTGAAACATCACAGGGGGTGCGCCACCATGACGGTGGTTTGGCAGTTAATTATTTCCTTAAATCCCTGTGTAAAACAATCATCCATCATCCTCCACCTATCTAAATCTCAACATACAAAATCAAATATTTCTGCCACACTTGTTTTAAATTATTAGTACAAGGACACAAGACAAAATATTCAGTTTAGCTCTTCCATGCACATTCTTGTTCTAAATGGGCCTTTATGTTTATACAGGATCAAAGGCAGCGTTTAATGTGTAATTGCAGTTTGACTGAAACTGCTGTTCCCACTTGGTAATAAGTGCTTGGCCCTTCCTGATCAATACTATAGAAATGAATGAGATGGAGTGCCGGTACAAGCCTCAGTGAGCAGCTTTTCATAACGAGCACTCAGCCTCTATAATGCTTTTAAAGCACGTGGTCCTCAGCAGTCATTCATTGCAGTGTGTAAACACTTATCTTTATTTTAGTATACTAGCAACAGTCTTGTTTCAATCAGTACTTACACGCAGAATGCTTAGACTGTGCTGAACAGTGTCACATATGCAGATGCTGCCTCTGACACAGATACAGACCACAATGGATGTATTGTTCAGAACCCGGACAAGCAAGAGAAGTGTTAATTTCTCATGGCAGTTCTGAGAGATACGACAGGCTGCAGCAACTGCAACTATTTGCCCCCCCCTCACCCACAGCCGTGAAGCAACATTGAGTCCCAGAATTGAAATGCATGCCTGGGTGGCAGGCAGCAAGGCCGTTCAGGTCTCAAGTACCCCAAGGCTTAGAGAGTGCTTGTTGTACTCCATAATACAACTTAAAGGAGCACTTGGGGACAAAGGCTTTGATCAAAATATCAGGACTGACGAGAAATAACTGTGATCCCTTCTGAGGTTGGAACAGGATCTGTGGATTAGGAATAAGGTTTGGCGTCCCAGTGGTTAAGGACTTGTTACCAACTTGTTACTCATGTCAGGCTCTGCCATTAACTCGGTGCGTCACCCGGAGCAGGTTACTCATTCTCGTGTGTGCTGTGTTTCAGATGAGGCATAAAACCAAAGTTGTAAATGGCTCCACAGCAGCAGTTTTTCATGTTTAATTCACCCCCTAGCCTCATAGTGTGGTTCTTGATCACATTATCTAGCAATAGACTATTTATTTTCGTTGATGTTATCCTTGATTAATTAGTTATTGGGGGAAATGTTTACAGGCTACATACAGTAGCAGGGATTTACATATCTACAAGAAGCTTAGTTTCAGTGTTCTGTTTTTCATGCACTTTTGTGTGGAGTAAATACATACCACCTTCACTGTGCAGTATAAACTGCTATGCATAAAGAACATAGTTTTTTTTTATTTTGATCCTTCTATAGGTTTCTCCTGTAGACCTGTCTGTACAGAAACCCCCATTATTGCTTAGCTGTTTTACTTTGGGATAACTTGACTGCTATTATGGATAAGTCACACATTCTGAGTTTTTTTCCTTTGCCTTTAGCTGTAGCACACAAAGAACAACACACACACATTTCCATTCTTCAGAAAAAAATGCCAAAAAAGCGTTATACAATGGCATGCATTATTTATAAATTTGTAATATAAGACTGTGAAAAAAGAAATCTGTGTGTTCGGAGCGAAGCCCAGATTGCCTTCTTGACTCCCTCAGAGCTGTCTGTGCAGACAGGCCTGCTGACAGTGTGGATTCCTGAAAGCTCCCCGATCCACACTGAGCCACACAGAGGCACTCAACCACAGCCCCACCACACAGGCATCAGGAGCGACTGTGCAGACAGTAGCTGCCCATGCCAATGAAGCCAGTCAGGTTCACTTTCGTAATTTATCCAGACAGTTCAAAATTTCTTTATCCGTAGGCGTGTAAGAGTTGTCCAGATGTCTGGTCCTGACTTAAACCAGAAGCTAGACAAGCCAGCCTTGGGTTTTAAAAGTCTTTGCAGCAAACAATCTGTATTATTTAAGTGATCTTCAGCATGAGCGACGATGAAGAAGCAAAGTATCCGTCAACCTTTTTCGAGTACAGGCAATGACGAGGCTGGGGGAGTCAGTTTCCAGTCAGTGCGCTGGTCCCCAAGTAATACTCAGTGTTGTCTGGACAATGGCCCAGCCTAAAGATCAGGCAAGTGACAGACCAGTGGGGCAGAGTGAGGGAGTCCCCCCACAAAACTGCCCAAGCACCGCCAACATACATGTACTGTCTGTTTCAGGGCCGTTCATTTAGACCTACAGTACAAGTTTTCATTAGTTTTTGCCCAACCAGCACGTTTGACATTTGCTCAACAGGCAACATTTTAATAAACATGAAAGCACTGAGAAAGACAGCAGGGCTAATAAAACAGCAAAAAACGTGAAAAAACACAGACATTAGACTATAGAATCGGTAAAGCTAAGACAGCACTCTCTTGTTCTTGGAATGCCAACAATGGTGCTATTGAATGAATAAGGGATAATTAGGTAAAGACACATAAATGAGTAAATAACCAGAGTGAAAGAAGGGACCACCCAGTTGGGTGTTTGTATCCAGGGTGTGAAAGCCCTTAGCAGGGGGCTGTCGGGACTTGAATGACAGGACACCACCCGGAGGGCTCCCTGTTTTCCCTCTGCATTATCTCCTTTCTTATCCTCCCCGGAGAGTTTCACTTTCTAAAAGTTTAGGAGATAAGACGAAGGGTGTCTCAGACTGTAGGTTTGGATGTACGAGAATTATAAATCGGTCTGTTTTAGTTTCTTTTCCTGCTTTACAAAGTTATTGTGCAATGTGAGCTCATAGCACACACGAGAGTAAAGCACGACAGGCTTCAGATACATGAACTTAGACACAGAAATCATGGCCCGTCAGGGTTCTGTTTCTGTCTGATACAGACAGCAGCTTTCTTCCTGTCTCACAGGTTAAGGTTTAGGGTCTCTCGGGGTCCTTGACCATAGGGAAACTGTGACGTGACGTGTCTGTTCTTGTTGTGGTTGGGAGACATTCCTTTGTATGGTCTATCCTGTAGGGGTCTCCAAGACCCCTTCTCTGATCAGCGAGGATTAGTCTGTTCCATAAAAAAAGGAAGGAAGCAGTAGTGCTCCATGTTAAATACATGGATGGCCTCTCAGAAGGCCAGCCATCCAGCCCTGACCTGTGGTCACCTGGCGTGAAAGGAGGAGTCTCTGCTGTGCCAGCTGGACTGGAGCCAATTGCAGTTCAGGGTTCCTTAGCTGCAGTCGCTGGGACTCACCCCAGTATGTGCATGTCTTTAGGTTTTTAATCCAATCCGCACATGATCATTTGTTTTAAAAACTACAATGCTCAGCATTTCACCGAGCACAGTCTCAGTTTTGGTATGGGATATATGAAGCAGTATCAAATTCAAAATTATTGATGAGGTGATGATGAGACGAAAGACCTAGATTGTTAACAGGGATGCCGTGGTGCTGGAGTTGAGCAAGCCTGTCTGATTTACTGAGTTCTGTCTGATTTACATAACTGTGTCAGAGGGTACCGAATAAAGGTCCGTGTTTAACCCTTCAGTGCCCTGTCTTTCCCTTTCAGGATACTCCTGCAGGCTGGTGACCCATGGCATGTCTCTCATCATTGTCAACGAGGACTCCCTTGATGTGAGTACAGACCTGCTTGGTGTCCGTGATCATTATTATCTGCATCATTTCATTTTTGAAAAGTGTTGTAGACGTTACAAAAATAAAAAAAAACACTTCATAAGATCAATGGAATTACGGTAATACGATTATTTTTACATCAATTAAAAACCTATAAAATAGTAATGCAAATTACAGCAATACCAAACTCAAAAACAAAATAATTGTCTTGAAAGCATACATAAAGAGATTATTTAAAAACTTATTCAGCTGTTATAATTGCATCAGACAATAAAACTTTACTGTGGTTGTTAGTGAAGGGATTCGGTGAGTCAGGGTCTGATTTCTCTCTGGTTCATACTGAGCAGATATTAAACTTAACAGCTGTTCCCAGATGTTAAAACACCAGGTCTGTAGGTTCTCTCCCCTTGTGGCTGGGTATCAGTAAAGTCAGGTTTTGCTAGATTTAGGAGATCACTTTTGTGTTGGAAATTGTTTGTATTGTACATATCTTCAATCAGCAGTGTAGAACAGTGATTTTTACATATTGTATAATAAAAGCAACTCAGAATACTTCAAAAGTGTTTTATTATTCCTGTAAATATATAGCTAGTGTTGTTATTACCAGTTGGCACTTGTAGGCTTTTTTATCTGAGTGACTTCAGAGAATTCTTACATGGTGGGTAGTGAATGGTGTTGAATTCCTGCACTGCACTGAAGTGGGGAGATAAAGAAATCAGACTCTAGCACACCTCGCTTTGAGGAGCACATTCCAGGAGCTGGCATGGTGTGGTGAACTCAGAAGCTCTGGCTAAGTGAAGGTATGGAGATCTATATCTGGGTTTTCCTCGTTGACACAGTACCTTATTTCTAAAGAACTTGTGAGAGAAGGAGCAGCTGAATTATTAGTCTGCTGTGCTCCAGCACTACGTTTTGTCCATTGTGCTCAGAGCTGTTCAGCATTGTGGGGAAAGCTGCTTTCAAAGGGGGGGAGGCCCTTTCCAAAGAACCTCTGCCATCCTCCCGTGAATTCCACAAGTCTTCCTAAAGACACTGTGCAGCCGGACGAAATCCTGCAGCGGAACAGCCAGCGCTGTGGTCCTGCCTTAGGTCTCTTGTTGTAATGAAGAAAGAACTCTTACACCACACCCATTTATGTCTCAAATAGATTGTCAGTGTGAGCTGCAACATTCTGTTGCTAGTCTGCCAACAAATTCATTTAATGTTTTTAATTGTATGTGTATTTCTGTTGTCTCAGTTGCTCTAGGATGTGTTTTTAACCAAGCGTTACAATATTTTATATACCTTAATTTTCTTTAGGCATTATGCTATGTTATATTAATTTTAATACTGCCTTGGCTAAAAGCGTCAGCTAAATAAATGAGTAAAAAAAAATCTATTTCCAGAGAGGGAGAGAATGGAAAGTGTTAAGGATGTACATATATTAGGAAAGCACATTTTGTTTCCTCATGGATTTAAATTAAAACAAACCCAAGCTATTGAGCAGGTCAGTTGAACATTCCTCCCACATCTTTTAGACACGGTTTTGAGTCCCACTGGAATATGTGGCAATGTCCGGAAGACGAGTATCTGTATCTTGGGTGGAACGTGACTGTCAGCAGGACAAGAGAAAGACAAGCTGCTCTTGAGATTAGAGGGCAAATGACTGTCCTGTGGAGTTCTCGTATCAGGGAGTGACCTCTGGAATTCATGGACCAGGACTGAGAGAGTAACTGACATGTACTGTATCAGAGCATTCGACACATGCCTGCGTAATGTTGAAACACTTCAAGCAAAGCTGTGATGGAAACTGTTGGCAAAAATGAAAAGGGTGGACTGATGAAGAAGGAAGCAGTATTACAGAGATTTAAAACATGAAGGGGGTGGAATCAGACATTGTGCTACCAACACATTGAAAACTTTCAAAATGTAATCTCTCACAGTGCACGTCTGTCAGTGTTTAAGTTCATCATGTTACTTTCAGCATCAGTTTGCAGGAGGCAAAGATTGGTGTGCAATAAGGCAATTTAGGCTGCTGTACCTAGGATATTGAGGATGCTCAGTGAGCAGTTTGAGAATCTGTAGTTAAGAACATTTCCTTCTGTCGTGGGGTCAGAATGTAAATATACAGCATACAGTACGTCAAACATACATTAAAGGCAAGAGAAAGGGCACTGCGGGGTCAGCCTGTCAGTCTGACAGTCGCAGAGTTTTGTGTAAAGGAGCCAGGCTGTTTCCCATGCAAGCAGGTAATGAATGGGCTGCAGCTCGCTCTCTGACAGAGTGTCTCTCCTGGGAGGCTGGCTGAGCCACAGGCCCAGCCTGCTGAAGGAATCACTGTGTCAGAGCTCTGCCTGCATGACGTCACTCCGCCCTCTGCCGGCACTCACTGCCTCTCGCTGAAAGAGTTACACTGTGCAGTATCCCTCTAATTGAGTTTACTTAATGTTTTTTTTTGGGGGGGGCTTTTCTGTTTTAAGAATGCCCAAGAGTATCCTTTTGGTAAATAATGTGTTTTTGGGAGATTTTAACATTAGTAAAAGCATAAAGCAAAAAAAAAAGATCAAGAAAAATATTATCACAAACCAGCAACGCCAACCCAACCCCCCCCCCACCCTCCTGCTCCACTCTTCCACAAGGAGCCTGTGAACAGCAGGGACTCTGAAGGTCACAGGTGGGCGTAGCAGATGGTTCAGGGCTTGAGGCTCTGGGCTATGAATTGAGCATGTCCCAGGGTTAGAGTGAGAGGAGGAGACTGTGTGAGAGTGACGTAACTTCCCAACATTAAAAAGTAAAAGGAACTGTGGAACAAGTGGTGTTGTGTTGTTAGGGGCAGCGGGTCGTAAATCAGCAGGGTTTATTATAAAAGAGTGTCGAAGGGCGAGGGTGTGAGCGATTGTGTGTGCCGTGTCCTTTACTGGATCCTTTTTCTTGGAGTCAGTCCCTGCTCTGAGTCCCATTCCGTTTCTTCCTTGGATTCAGTTCTTTCTTGGAGAGATTTTTCTTCCAAAGCACGGTGGAGTGTACTCCAGTCTTTCATAAGTCATGCAGCTCTACATCTGAAATATTGGCTCTGAGATTCTGTGTAAAATGTACTTTGTTGTCTCAACATCTTTTGTGTTGTTGGATTCTAGATGCTTTATTGGAGGTCCAGTTAAACTATCAATAACATTGGCTTTTTAATGTTTGAAATGATGATGGTTTCTGCAGGCAAGGCAAAATGGTTTTTCCTTTCACACCTTTGAGTGCTGCAAGGCCTTCTCTGGAAAAAGTGCAATTTCTGATATTTTGGGGGGGGTTTCTGTCAAGCAGGTGTAGAAGGATTCTTTGACTGGGCTTTCATATTTCTTTCATTTTGTAGGCTTTGTGTATCCTGATTGCTCACTAGGGAACAAGTCTACAATGTCCAGAGCCCAGTGTTAACATTTAAGAGCCCACAGTGGTGCAACAAGAAATAGGTTTGAACCGTTCTGCAATGTAAAACCAATTAGCTTCTCTGATAAAAGCACTCTGGAAAGTAGCAGCTTTCTTAACGACAGTCTCTCCTGCTCTGTGGACCGAGAGGCTTGTCTGGTGGTCTGCTTGCTGCGTGTTTTTTTTAAGTAGAAAGCAGCAGGCTGAGAAACATTTAGTGTTATTACCTCTTTGGTAATCAGTTTCCTCATTGCTTTACATGGGAAGCTGTTGAATTCTGTGTCCGGTGATGAAAATAAATCAAGCCAGGCTTAAAACTGGAATGAAAGGTGTCATTATGCCACAAGGCCCCCCCCCCCATCTAAATGAGCTTTAATCTCACCACAGTCCCACAAAGAGCAGCTGTCAGCCGGCCGGGAGTTACAGACGCAAAGAACCCAAAAGATGAAAGACGATACCTCTCGGTATTTATTCCACAATATTCATATTTCCTCTCTCTCTCGCACATCTGTTGGCTCGTTCAGGCTGGCTCAGGAGGCCAAGCTTGTGCAGCTCTGGGGGGCAGTTAGCAAGGAAATTCAGGCACACTGCACAGGGGACACAGCTGTCTCACTCTGGAAAAATTCAGCTCCTAGGATTTTGTAAACTGGATAAAACCTGTACAGCATATTGCTAGAGAAGGCAGTAGGCTCCTAAGTGACTCTGGGAGAGCTGCCCTGCAGGAGAGCTGTGGCCACTCGTCAAAAATATTTCCACATGCAGAATAAAATAATGCATTTGATGATGTCCAATATGATAAATTAACCCACGTTAGTTTTATTTTACTTTGAAGTTTCAGCGCTTTTAAGGTAAAGTGCATACCCATGGTGAAAAGGGGAATTAATGAATTGTGCTGCTGAGAGAGTGTTTTGTCACATGTAGAACCGATTAGATGCACAGAGGCTCAGCAGCACAGGCTAAAAGAGTCTTGTCTTTCACGAAAAAGTGGTCATTTTCAGGAGATCAGCCATAAACTGTTGTTATTCACACATCCATTTTTGTTCTCAAGACTCCACTCCACCATCCCTCTTGCAGTGGATCTGCAACATGACAAGCAAGGTATTGGTAAATACCTATTAAAAATGTACTCAGGTGAAACGTGTCTGCAAAGACTGAGCCACAGGGAGCTGGCAGCTCCAGACTTTCAGATGATTCACAGCAGGACCCAGCAGCCAGCTGGGCCCCCACCTTCTCATACAGCAGGCTTGAGTCACTGTCAGCAGCGTGACGGCTCTGCTGATAGTGTACTTTTCCTGCAAGCTCAAGAGTTCATGGGTTCATGCTCTGGTCACTTGGGTTTCACTTTCCACCTGTGCAACCACTGCAGTGCACATTTTGAGATTCAGATTGATGATCCTATTGCCTTCCAGATATACCCTAAAAATGTATCCTGTTTGCATTACCCATTGCATTACATTGATGCAGGACCACGGCTCACAGAGCTGAGTAAGCCTGACTTCAGACAGGAGTCCTTGAACATTGAAACTGGAATCAAAACCCTGTCTGTAACTCATGGTCTTTGTATTTTGTCCCATTTCCTGATGTCTGAACTTACTCCGTTTCCTCTTTGGAAAGGAAACCACAGGTAGAGATCCTCTCTTGTACTCCTTCATTCTGCATGAGTGTGTTAACAAGCAACCAAAGAGCCTTCTGCTCCTGTCACACTCATGAATTACATATCTCTGTCAGAAAAAAGCTTCCACTATGTTTTGTTTGCACTTCAGCAGGAAGCTTTGACCTTATAAAAACAGGAAAATGTGTGCAGTGGGATTTTGGAGTGTGAGGTATAGCATGTTCCTATAATATACCTTGAAGTCTAACAGTAAGCACGTGGACTAAGAACAGAACAGACGCTGTGTACTTTTCCAACAGGAAGGCCAGGAGCAGTTGAGCTAATGTTTGACCAGGCCTCACACAGCTCCTAAGGATTGGGGCAAATGGAGAGTCTGCATTAGAGCAATAATCTGTAGGAGTAATTGTCTTATAAAACGGGATGAAAGCAGCATGCTACACCCTTTTCATGCTACACAAACCCAGAGCCAGCTTTCATCCTGGCTCGGCAGTAATATCAGTCTTGCCTCATAGAGCAGGCCTCTCTTTATTAACCCCAGAGTAGGGTTGATCAAAATGCCACAAATTTCCAAGACTGAAGTCATTTCCACGTTTCCAGACTGCCAATTATTCACTTCTCTGGTGTTTTACTTTAATTAAAAAACAACAAACGTGTTTTAGGCGAGTTAGAAACAGCATGTCAGCACTTACGTTTTCAGAACTTCTTGGAAGTAAAGAACCACACTCGGGCACTACAAAGGTAGTTTAGCCCTAGTAAGTACCAAGTCAGGAGCTGAGAAGAGCAATTATGTAACTTCCCTAGCTGTGGAAATCGCAGGTCATTGATCATAAAAAAAGCACACCCTGTGTTAAATGGGCAGAATTGTTCTTGGATAGAGATATTAATTGTTTTAAATAAGAGATATGTGACTGCTGCCTCAACATTCTTGGGTTCTGGGCTCAATTTCAGATTGGAACACATCCTGCCTGTATTTTGTTTGTAGCATATTCCCCCCAATGTCCATGTGGGTTTCTCCCACCTCCCAGAGATTACCCGTCTCGGCTAAATTGTCCTCGTGTGTGTCCTGTGCTGGACCGGCGTCCTCTCCAGGCTACAGTCCCGCCTTGCATCCTGTGCTCCTAGGATAGACTCCAGGTTGCCATGATCCTTACAGGAATAAATGTCTTTCTGATGATGGATGGGAAAAAATACATGAACTGAAAAAATACTCTGTAATTTCTGTGTTTGTTTGAGATCTTACACTTGATACTGAAGGCACAACTTCCCCTTATTTAAAGCTGCTCAGTACTTTTTCACCCTAGACTTCCACACTGCCAAAATGTTTATATGTTTTTTGTTGTAATTTGTTCACCAGGTCCTGCTTGTAGCAGTGTTTTATGGCATCCTCCCATATTAACTTTAAAAAAGGGTCAGAACTTTTGAATCCTGCTGTCCAGACTGACTCCAAAGCAGCAAGTCACACGATGGGTAATTATCGTCTGCTTCTGGCAGTGACGCTCATGCTGTGATTACATTTAAGTCTTGCAGGTGGATGCTCACAAAAGCACAAAACAGTTCAATCTTTTTGCTATACTTCATTTCTGGATTAAGACATCCTCAGATGGGATTTTAAAGATCTTTGCTCCATTTTCGTCCCCAATCCGTGATGTTTGGCATTCCGGCGGGTGCAGTGCAATTTGTTAACCAGGAAAGATGAAACCGATATCACAGTGGTGCTGTGGCTGAGAGCGCTCGACACTACAGTCTGTTGCATTTCCATATCATTTAGGAGAGGCTTTGGTTCTTAAATAGGGTGATGCTACATTTTGAAAAAATTAAAAAAGTCATCTTCAAAAAAATAAATTTCTTTACAGTTTGATTCAAGTCATGTGCATTCTTCAGGCTCATGATGGGCTTGGGAATGAATATAAGCTTTCAGCTGCATCCAACTGAGGCTTTCTTTGATTCACTTAAATATATGAGGAACTGGAGAGAAAAGAGGCGTTTTGTTTTCATCCCAAGACTTGGGTTTAAAATGTCATGAAATAAAAAATCCTGTTGTTAGCTGCTGGCCCGGCGCTGTTGCTGCAGAGTTCATCACCTTCAACTGGCCTGCTAGTCCAGTAACAGGAAAAGGATGCTTTTGTTTTGTCTGTGATCGTAAAGCAGAGCTGGTGTGTGTTGTTTCCTGCACATTCTGTTCCACCTTGCCTGCGCGTAAAAATTATCATTTCATTTTTGAGGATCGAGCACTCCAGGCCACTTCTTATGTCCACTTTGTAGCTCCTGCTTGAGGAAAGATTGTTTATTGTTGCTGTAAATACACACCCTTCCTGTTTTCAAATGTACCGTGGTAAAAAATCTGCCCCTTTGCTGTGATTTAAGATTGCCACCCAGTTTACAAAGCCAGCCAGAACCACAGGGCATGCAGCGATGCCCATGGCACAGTGGTGGATTTAACTAAGCGCCACCCATTATTTGTGTGCTGAGTGACAGCTGGAGCCTGAAGTGCTGCAATATGATCTGTCGTGCTGCGCCGAGCTGTCTGGGAGAGTGAGCGAGCAAGAATCCTGAAGCTGCCAGCTCTGTATTAACAGAAAAAACGAGTAGAGCTTTGCACATCTATCCCCAGGAGAGTAGCCGCACTGCCAGTGCTGAGTGAGACTGCGGGCCACCTGTCTCCCACTCTCTCTGTCACTCTCTCTTTCCTTCGTCTCTCTCTCTTTCCATCTTCCATGCTCACTCCCCCCCCCCCATTTTCTCTTTTTCTTCCTCTCCTTCCCTCTCTCCACCAGCGAGTTTCATTAGTCATAGGTAACCTGATCAGGGACGGGCACTGAAGGGAGAGCCTTGCTTGTGCCAGGGCCCCTTCCCCAGGATAAATACAGCCATTCATGCTGTTAATTAGACGTTCAGCACAGTGCATGAAGAGCTGTGAGATGAAATATAATGGGATCCCGACTAGCACCGAGCCTGATTTGCTCAGGGCCCAGAACTTTTGGGTAAGATTACATGGCGCCCATGGCCTGTGCACACCCCTGTGACATTAGAACCTTAATTGGGTCTCCTTGTGTTTTGGATGGATTTGTTTGGTGGTCTTGTACTTCTCAAGTTCCTCTTGGGGTCTCCAAGCATGGGTTATCTGTGGATTTGCTGCTCCATATCACTTGTGATCTTGATGAGAATGTTGTCTCTTTGTAACCCCGCACTGTTCTCCACTCATAGAGGAGAGAGGCATGTTCTGCTCTCTTCTGGGTGGGCTGGATGATCATATGTGTTTACAGCTTGCCTGTTTACCACTTACAAACACCTTCAGCTCTGTCTTCAGTGATAGGATCTGCTCTGTGGAAGCAAAGTGGCCTGAGCTACTTACCAGACAAAACGCACCAGGATCGTGTCCCTACAGGGTCAGAAGTGAAGTGTGTGGTGACTTGTCAGTCAATTGAAGTCCTGCAGTTGAGCCCCAAGACAACAACAAAACAAGTTGATTGTTCTTTTATCTTATAATGAAATTCACCGCTGCCCCACTTGTAACTGGAGCTCAAAAGTAGTTCACCTTCTCATTAATACCTTATGTATATGATCAAGTGCAGCTCGACAGATCTTTATGCCAAAATTATTTCTTCACCTAGCTTTTTTAGAAAGCATTGTTTTGCTCTAGTCATAACTCCTGACATTAACATTAACAAGACATTATGTCACAGTCCTGCATGCCAGGAATCTTATTACAGCTTGGGTTCGGTACTCACTGCATTAATCACACTGAATGTTTTCCTCAGGTTTGTAAGAGGTAAAGTAAAGGGATCACTTAACCCCCTTGAGGTCTCCTAATAATAAGAAACCTAGCCTTTCACAAAAACACAAAACACATTTGTAAAAAGGAAATAAAGGCTAGTTTTTCCCCTCTAACAGTACAATCATATGTGATAGGATGAGTAATTCTGTACCTTTAAGTTTTTAGAGCACATTTACAGCTGCTTTCTGTGCAGTGTTGTCTGTTCCTCAGCGGATAGGTGCAGCCCTGCGAGTGTCTTACTGTGCCTGAAAGGTAACAAATATCTTGTCACGGCACAAGTCCTACTTCAACATTGACCACACTGCTGAATGATACTGAAGCAGTTCTCCATCAAGCACACATTGTCTGATCCTACAGGCCAGTGCAGTATTGGGGCATGGCTAGGCAGGTTTGTGGTGTAGTATTCAGGCCTGGAATTAAGACTCCCACCGCAAAGCAGTTTGAACCCTAAGCAGCAGGCTCTATCTCTGTTGAAATGTTAATGTACTGGTAACATAATGCAGACTATGTCTTTTGTACTCATAAGTACCTATATTCATCCAATTTGTTTTACTCTAGTCCTCATAATGTCTATGCCTGGATTATCCATGGAGCTGCTCTCTAAGAACTTGCTTCTTGGTATCCTCCATACTTTCCCACTCCCTGACAGCTGGCAGTAGCCAGACGTATTGTCTGGGCTGGATATAAGTCAGGAGGTCTGGCCAGAATGTGCTGTAAGAGTATCCCTGTTTGTGCAGCAGGAGGCAGGTGCTGCCCCCTCTGAGGTGGTCTGTTAGCCAGGTGCCAGTGTTTGTAAACACAGGCCCGACTTTGCACCAAGAGCAGCTCTGCGGTCTTGCTCAGTGACAGTGTCAGTTTGAAGGAGCTATTTCGGATGATTCAGTGCCAATCTTCTGGCAGTCTCTGAGAGATCATATCAGCAAAAGTAAAACTGTTGCAAGGCAGATCAGTCCATTTCTGATTTTGTATGCTCTTGTTTATACAGTATGCCATCGCCAAGCACTGTGTATGTCAAGCGTCATTACTTCACATGTATGGTTTGTAAAATAGGCTATGACTCATTAATCTTGTGATCAAACTTGTGCAGGTAGTGTCTTACTTGCTCTTTCACTGAACAAAACACTGAAACAGATTGTATTTTTGAGTGTGATCTGCTATTACGTATGGTTTAAAACAATCAAAAGAACTCATTTGGGTGTAATATTTAACTTTATGTGTTGTAAGTGTTCAGTATATGCCTGCACAATAGTAATTAAAATTGACAGTGCCCTACAGAATTTCCACCCCAGGCTCTAGATTCAATGTGTGCATTTTACGCAAAGAATATTTGCCAAAATAGTTGTACAATTAAAGATTTGATTTTTATTTCTCACATGTCGTTGCTTGACCTTAACATACTGGGGCATCGTTTAAAGTGACTGTAACATTTCTAATCACCCAAATTGCAAATAATTCTTCAACAAAGCCTTGCCTATAGTATCAGATTACGACGGTAAGACAGGGAACCCACTGTTGCATTTCCTATAGTGTTGCTTGTTCAATGCAAAGACCTGTCACCATCCGTTTCAGACCTGTGCAGGTAGGTTTTTTTTTATCCCTTATTGTTTCATAAAATTATTTTTTTTTAAATGAAACGGGTTTGTTTTTAAACCAGTCCCAAGTAAAGTACAAATACCTTTACCAGCCAGAGCCAACCTTCCAACTGCGAAAATAGCCTGCCCTTATCAGGTTGTGCTAATACAACCGCTTAAGGGTTGATAGTGAGGTTTGGTTAACTGTGTTTGATACTAGGGAGTTAAGGGTGAAGATAGATAAAGAGCTGTACGGTGTTATTCAACAGGAGTTCTATGTTGTTAATGCAGACATTTTCAAGGACCAGTTAGCTACGTGACAAGGGGGAGTTAAGTGTATTTTTTTCATCATAGAGATGAAAGCATAGTTCAATGGATGCCAAGCACAGAAGAATTTGATAGATAATTTTCTCTGAGCCCACTTAAAATAGCAACAAAGCATTCTCACACTCACTAATCGGAGGTGACTGCACAAAATGGGCTCTGCACAAGAAAGGCACTGAAGCTTACAGAGTAGTCATTGAAAGGAAAAAAACTGATAGAAAAACACATTTGTGTTTGAAGCAAGTACCACCATCGTGTTAGAATCAAAAGAACAGGCAGAATCAGGTTAACGGGTTTGCAACGGGTTAAACTCTGCTGTTTCACACTTCACACAATTTAACATAGGGACATATTCCTGTTTTAGGGAAATTTATCTACCCGACAAACTGCAATTAAGCATCACTTTGTAAACAGTAGTTAAGAAGAGAATCACAAAACTATCCAAAATCTGTTTTTATAATGATATAACAGGCTTTGTTCCTGAAACACTCTCCTTTCCTACGACAAAAATCAACACAGTAAAGGGATAGATTGTGAGATCAGTCTTCCGTGATGCAAACTGAAAGAGACTCTTTTTGAGCATTCATGATTGTTTTTGGTTTTGAAACATAAGGAGTTTATTTTTCATTTTTCAAAACATCGTTAAAACTTTTTTTGTGTGAATAAGACCCAAAACCTCTAATCTTATCCTCTGGCATTTTCTTCATTAAAAATGAGAGTGATGGATTTCCATTGCTTGAGCCCAGTGATTTCCACCCCTGGCTCCAGATCCAGTTACCCCAACAATGAGTGGTGTCAGCACGGTCTGTCTGATGCTCAGACTCTCATGCCTGTTACTTCACGAGAGAGAATCGCTTCTTGATTTCCGCTGGTTTGAGTTTGGGACAAGTCACTAGTCATCAATGACTGAGGTTCCACAAGTGGCAGAGATACACCAGGTATATGTGGGTATTAGTCTGTGGGTCTGTGGGTATTAGAAGTGGGTCCTCTGCACTTTCGGAGAACCTGATAACCTGAGAGCTGAGAGCTTGCAGAGGCATAAGCGGGAGAAGTGTTGCTTCTCTCTTTAACACCAGCTTTCCTGCAAGGCACCGTGGAGCTCCTAGCATATCAAAAGATGAGTGCATTCGGAAGGAGAGCACTTCAGAGATGGTCTGCCAGTCCTCATTCTCCCCGTGTAGGTACAGGCATTGTTGCTGAAAAAGAGTCTTAATCAGTGGGCGATTCCAAACTGTTGGTGCGTAATAAAGTGAAAATAGAGGCGTGTGTCATGGATCTGTCCTGTGCATTTAGAAAGCTGTGGTGTCTGCGAACACCGTCATGATATTGTTTTACTTTCCAGCACAGTTGTAATTTAGTACCCATTCTAATACACTGGATAAACCAGGACTCAGGGGGAGCTGCCTGTTAGATGTCCCATTAATCAGTGGGGCGCGGGCTGTTTTGTAGCTTTTGCAGCACGTGTAAGTAGCAGCCTAGCACACCCGTAGGGAATGACTGCCTTCTGCTGACATGCCTCCTTGCCCTGGCTGGGCGTGATGAAAACCCCAAGCGCGGCCATGAATCATCTCCGATTTGTTCAACTGTCCAGGCACATCCTCCTGCCTTGCTGCTTGTCTGCTGGTGTGAGAGATATTCTATTGATATTTCCATTGGCAAAAAAAAGCCTTCTTGACAAGGTTGAAGTCCAGACGGACTGGGACTTCAAGGTCCCTCCTTCGGTTGATGTGTGCCAGAAACTGTGGGCATAGTCACCATCCGAAACAGTGTAGTACGACAGAAACAAACACATAATTCAGTCCAGGACTTCTCTTTATTACTTGGGATCTGCATTGCTTTTGTGTTTAAACATGATTTCATTAATGCCTTAAATGGGATTTATCTGTGGAAAGTTAAGTTTGGTGGTTTAAGGTAATGTGTGCATTTTATTGTAAGTCAAGGAATCTGATCAAGAAATTGATCCTGTAACTCCTCTGATACTTGTCGAAATTTTGCCATTGCTCCCCAGACAAGAGAGCAGCACGGGGATGGGTTATTGAGAGGATGGGGTAGAGGGCTGGAGACCAGGATCAGGTAACTGGATGTTGTCGGACTCTTGTGACTCTTGTGACTGAAACCTAATACACTGTTTTTTTTCTTCCTGTTGTATTGTGATTTGCATCACCTAGTAACAGGACAAAGGGCCAGGTGTTAACTGGTTTCTGTTGCTCTCAGAAACAGTCTGTCATTGCTCTGTTTTTCTGCCAAAATAAAGGTCGAACACTGAGTTTGAACCTAGCCTGCACTCCTTTACGCCCCCACCTTCTTCTCTTTCTGGTGATATTTATTCATATCATAGAAGCAGCTCCTGAAATCATCAGTCTGTGACGTTTGAAACTGCCAGCTAAAATCAACTTGCTCACACCCTAGTGTAAGAGTGTCCTCTTCATCATCCCTGTGTGCTTATACAGCTTCCCTGCGGTCTTGGCCTCCTTTCCAGGGATTCTCATGCAGGATGCTATGCTTTAGCAATCACCTCAGGTAAAAAAAAAACAAATAAAACAAGTGAATGGCGCACTCTGGAGAAAATGGCTGTCAGTTTCTGTGCCTCCTGTAGTAGTATGTCCTGTTCTCCTTCACAATGATTGAAATCTGTCACACCACACCAGCTTTTTGCAATGACAGCATTGTTAGAACTTTCTATCCTAATCTTGTCATATCTCAGAAGAAAAATGCCGGGATTGGTTAGTGTTGGTACAGGAGACGGGAAGAAAATTCAGGCTGCTGCTGCAAGTGGTCTTGGTGGACCACTAAGTAGCCTGTATTTTCTATCCAATGGGACAGTGTGTTGTAAGTGTTGCAGACTCGTAAGTGTTGGAGGGTATTAACCATGTTGTTCTGACTAAATTCCACTCTGCCCTTGCACTATCTGGCCTATGTAATGTTCCCCCTTAACCCAGCTGGTGAAGAGGTTTGTCACTCCTCCCTATGATGTGCTGTGTAGTTGAGTCTGCTGGTGCAGAACAGCTGCCACGCTTCACTCAAGTGGGTGCTGCTCTTCATCTCTTTGAGATGCTTTGGAATCAAAATATTATATAAATGAAATTTATACAAATTCTTATTGATACTGCAACTCTGTATTAGTATTTTAGCCATTAAATTCAAACGTGTTATCCTTGGAATTTGGCTGAATGGGACCTTTGATCAATTTGCTACTAACTACCGAATGAGCTAGATGGTTTTGTCTCTTCACTACATGCTCATGTGACGTAAATAATACAGAATAATTGACTTATACACGAACGAGCATGAGTGTGTTTGCTTTAGAACAGTTCTTGGATTCGCGGCCTGTTTTTGTGTCAAGGCAGTGTGGATGCCAGTAATTTATCATTAGCCTCTGCATAGACGAAGCCAGACATTAGTTAACATTAGTTTCCTTGACATTAAAAAAATCAGCAGGGGCCAAAAGTTTTATTATTCTTTTTTACTCCAAAAGAAACTAAATAAAACTGAAATCCCTTCCCATGAAAAAAGCATTCTCCCTCTTAGCCTCTACATATTAGTTAAAGTTAAAGCTAATTAGCTGGAGTCCAAATGGCTGGAGAAAACTGTGCAAGAACCTTTAACTGTTGTTTTACTAGAAGAGAGCATTCGTTCTCTGGCCTGTTTTAATGTGTAAATTGAAATGGTTAAAAATTATAAAACAAAAACCCTAAAGCAATGCAGACCCCTTCCTCCAAAGGAAAGCAGCGATGAAAAGAAATACTGTAGGAATGTGGAGAAATGTAAGCCGTGTTTCCCTGGGGTCTAAGCGCAGTTGAGCTGTGGCATTCTGGAAAACATAGCAAGCAATTGGAGAAATGATGACTGAAGTACGGAAATGCGATCCCCTTGCAGGGCAGCCGTTTTAGAGAGAAACCTGCCTCGCCAAAACAAACTTCTGTAAATACAGAGCGCACCGAGAGTCTGGACACATCGCTGCATTGGAAAAACACTCTGGATCTTTTCTCGGGGCTTCGCTGAGGCCAGGCAAGGGCAGTATCAATTCTTCATCTTCATATCTGATACACCGCACTCACAAATCACAGACATTGGCTGTTACACAAACACTACACAGCCAGGAACAAGGATTCCATCAAAGAAACTTTTTTTTTGAGCATCCTCATGATTATAAATTACACTTGGTGCTGAAGGATTTACTTCTGATATATTTCTGATTTTTATTATAAGTATAATTTATATTTTTTCATCTTTCACACTTATTTGAATTACAGCCTTTAATATGTGTTAGATATTTTGTGCGAGTTTATATGAAGCCAGGAATGTAGTATGTTCGTGCCGGGTGAGCAGCCGGACTGATGGAGCGATACCATACTAGTGGAAGTTCCATGTGTTTACGGGCACTTTAATTCTTCATGTCTCCCCTCCCCACTCTCCTTTCAAGTCTTAACTGCCCGGATTACAATTTCAACGCAAGCATTTCTACTGTACTTTCAATTAATCATCAGGGCGGCCAGAAACCCATCTGCTCTAGTCTCCCAGTTAAATAAACACTGCCAGTGGGTTTGTTTGTGGGAGATAAACAGGCCGATGCCCAGCTCCTCTCATTTCGGCCTACACAAGGGCTATTAACGACAGTTATAAATCTCGGTATTGACAGATCCCCAACGGGACAGGTTCACATGCGCCTGAGAAGCTGTCTCAGTTTGCTGTGTTTTGCCAGGCCAAAAGAAAAACGCTGCCCATCTCTTATTCCCGGTTGTGAGGGCAGTAAACAGTCTTTAGTAGTTTAGCAGCTGCTTCGTATATTTGACAAGTACTGCTTATTCGAGAGCACAGGGATTAGAAACTCGGCTCCATCTGAAGGACTGCTTGCAGTGCGTGTGAAGGGAACATTTTAAATAATTACAGTTTCTTTCTAATAATACTAATCTGGAAACACTTTCAATAAAGTAGTCTTTAAATAAGTCTGATCATTTGAACATTTTGTACAATGTTGGATTTAAAATAATTTAGATTTTCAAGACATTTGCAAATAATTTCAGCGTTGAGAGAGAAAGCGGTGTCCTCCCTGGAATCTTTCTGTGTTTTTTTCTGCCTGTTTCTCTATGAAATATCAGGGGGGAAACATCAGTAACCTTTCAGGGTATCCCATGGTACTTACAAACATTTGCTGCAGTATTATCACAGAGTATTAGCACGAAACTAGTAACACATGCTGACAAGCGGTAAACCCTCAGAAAGGCAAACCAATAAAGCAAAGTAAATTAGTGCAAAATGCAGTGGAACAATGTGCTAAAACCGTGAGACCATTTTAAATATACCATGGTTTACCTTCAGAACAGGCAGCTGAGATTTGAACAGGAGCATGTTCAATGACTTCACTTTCGAGAGAGATGGAAGGAGCTGTGTGGAAGCCTTTTGTTGGAGGAACCTGGCCCTCATTTCTAACAGCAGGGCAAAGACAGATTGAGGAGGACAGCTGAGCTCAGCCTGGGTCCCTAGGGAGACTGCCTCGCACGGGGTCGGTAACCCTACCAGGAGAGAGAAGAGGAGCAGCAGCTTGGTCCGGGGGCTGTTTTTCCAAGATGTTCAGCAGCCATTGAAATTCTTTGCTGCCACATCCTCCACTGAGAGTTTCCTCTCTCCTAGAGCATGCATGTGTGTATGAAAGCTTGCCAGCACCTTAATTCCCCCCTTTGGCTAGGCAGACTGGAATACTGCTTATTTAAGGGCCCAGAGAGAGGAGGGATTTAAATACCCATTCTGCTCAACCCCTGACGACAAACTGCACGATCAGTGAGCCAAGGAATAGCTGGGGGACAGAGGGAGATTAGGATGATCTCTTCCATGGTGCACTGGCATTCTTGCACAGTGCTGTCTCTGAGTGGGGAGACAGGGGTCACAGTGAATGTACATATTTTTAAGAGATAAGGAAGCCATGTTTCCTGGATAGGTCTAGCTACTATGCTTCAGTGATACTTTCAGGGCAGTGTTTGACCATCCCAAAAGAGAGCCTGGCCATATTACAGTGAACACCCTCGTTCCTTCTTTCCACATACTGTAAGTGATTGTTTTTTACATTTCACAGCAGTTCTTGTATAGCTGGCACTGTATGCCAGCTGCCTTCTCCTGACCCTGCACTATTCACAATATCAAACTGTTTTGGCATCTGCTTTTGTGTCCTGCTGCAGTCAAGACTGCTCATTTTAATAGGGCAGGGCACTGTACAGTACAGGGAGCCAAGGCTTCCCCATCATGGTGATTTACACTTTAACAGGAAGCAGATAAAAATCCCTGTTGTGCCACATCTCCTGTAATAAAGCCACAGCCCTGCAGGGCAGTTACTGATTGACAGAGTGTGAGAGGTGCTGGGAGCAGGGAAGCAGCGAACCAGGGTACGGTGCTCTTTTAAATACTGGGCGATGTGATTGACTGCAGCAGGAGGACTTGGGGGCTGTGGGGTTTCAACTGGCATTCCTGATGTAGAGCTCTCCTCCAGTAACTAGCAGAGTATTCCTTTGCCGCAGTACGTTATGAAACGATCATACATGCAGACCCCCGATTTATACTGTCATCTCCCGGGCAGCTGTCTAGCTCACACAGCTCAGACAAAGTGTGCTCAAACCCACTGTGCCAAAAGGCCAGTCTCTCAGCACAGGAGGCTGAAACTCTCTGCACCCTAATGGGAGTAACATCACCCTGACAGTCTTGTGTAACACCGTGAGACCTGTTCCACATTGGGTGCTGTTTGTTTAAACCCAATAAAAAATATGGTAGACCGCAGGAAAGCATTGTGAAAGCAGTGGGAACAGTATAGGAAAAATTAGTAAAACTGGAAAATTTGATAAGCCTAGCTTTTGGTGGTAAAAGATTGACCAAATTTTGACCAATTTATTTTTGAACTTCTTCTGACTTACTGTGGGATTAACTGAAGCCTGAAGACTTTTGTCCCGCCCAAAGCAGTGAGAGGGAATTCAGAGTCACCATGACACTCAAGGGTGAAATTGATTAAGCTAGACCAATTTCTAATCCATTACACTGGGCTGTTTGTTTTCGGCACTAAAAATACCGCTGCCCTTTAGGGCTATTTCCACAGGTTCTCGCAGGTTAGACCTGCGTCCTGAAGTCCGCCGTGTTGCTTCCTGTTCAGCACTTCCACGGCAACCTTACTGGCAGTTGTCAATTTGAATGCCGGAAAAAAAATAATTGGCTTGAAACAGTATTTTGACAGAACCGTGTTATTGAAGCAATATGTGATTTGTTTTCTCAAACTACAGTATTAGGGCAACATTCTTATTTAATAACAGCAGTATATGGAATACCTTGCTTGAGCATTGCTTACCATGTTCTTTGTTCTTTATACCAAAAACATTATCCTTATGAGTGGTGACACAGAATTCGTGGATTGGCTGGGTTTTGAATTCAGCAAGGGGTTTCCTCAACTTGCCACAATGCATATAATTTGCATCTCACAATTTAAAGAAAAACAATATCTTAGGTGTGTGGAGCAACACTAGAGGCAAAATAGAACAAGTGCTGCTTTTGTTTTTTTTTCTAGCCTGTTGGATTGCCTCTAGATCCTTTGCTTGTAGGTAAGGACTTATTTTGACGCACATTACCGTGTTTAGATATGTTGAACAACATTAACATACTAAGTGAAAAGTATCGGATCTAGAGGGAGTGTACTTTTCTTTTGAGGTGTTTGAAAGAAATGGCACTTCTAATATAGTGATCTATTAAATAATAATTTGAAGGTCTACGCAGGTGTTTAAATTAACGTGAATCCTTTTATACCACACCATTATATTCTTTGAAATAAACATTCATTCACATCTGTCACCTCTCATCAGGGTTATAAAACTGGACTTCTCTTTCCGCTGCTACTATAAGTAATCCAACCCCTAGAATTGCAATTGCACAATGGTGTTCTGGCACATACAGTATTTCTGCTGTAGTTAGCCCTGATCTCTTTGGGAAAAAATGGCCTCCTGCGATCTGTAAAGAACCATATGCAAAGGTCAGTTCTAGTGCTGCATATTCTAGCAGATTAAAAGAAAAACATTCAGAAGTCAATCTGCTGGCTAGAGACACGGCCCTGCAGCCGTTCCTGTGGCTGTGTGTAGCTCTGACTGCCTTAAGGACTGCAGAGTGGAGCTTTACGCCTGCTTATACACATTTTACTTGCTGTGGTTTTTGATAGTTTCTATTATGCTTTGCCACATCTATCTATAATTTAATATGCTTTCACCATGGATTTATTACTCTTTTCTATAAAAAGCGTAAACTGTCCCCCTTTTATAACCATTGACTTGGAAAGCACACCCTAAAAGAACAATTACGTAAGCCCACACCTCACCTTACTGCGGAGGTCTGGCAGTAGATTTCGCAGGTGAATTGAGATTTAAAGCGTCAAAGTGGGCTGGTAAAAAAAGATTAGCGGTGGCTTCATTCATCTCCTAGTCTGCAAGCTGGTAGAGTCCCTGCCCAGTGCTCCTCAGTAACTGTGGCTCCATTCAACGTCTCCACCCCCAGCTGGTCCATAATGACCCCACAGTTAAAGGAACCTAATGAGAGATGGCAGACAGGCACTTTCAGTGCCTTCCTAATTAAGAGGTAGCACCACAATTTGGAAGCAGACAAAAGACAAATTTTCCATCTTTCTGTGTGCTTACTCACGAGAGGGCTTAGAGAGGCCATGCATGTCAAAGCAATGGGCTGTAATGAGCGTTTTATTGCTGGGGAATACTGAGCGCAGTTAGAGATCTTGACCAGGGTCAGCCCTGGGCTTTTCAGATCAGAGCAGATGCAAAGTGAACGTGACTTTTAGCCTTCCAGGAGCCTCCTCTCCACTGTGCCCCCCTCCCCTTGGTGCTGTGTACCGAGCAGCAGGGTGCGGGTCACATTGTGTCCAGCCGCCAGGGCACAGCAGGCCCCCGTCTCTTCAAGAGTGTGCAGCATCGCTGCACTCCACTGGCACAGTCACCCCACTCTCCTTCTGACTCTGACAGACTGCCCCGCTACAGCTGCACTCACTGGAGATCAGTCTGTTTATGAGCCACCATTACTTTAGGATCATTAGGGATTGATTAGCAATCACATGCAAGGTCATTGAGGTGTTTGTAGGCACTAAGCTGTTACATGTCCCTGGTGTTTGAAACAGGAGGCTAAGGAATTTGCATGAGAAAATACCGCCCTAAATTTAACATAAGATTCCACTGACAGGCTGGAATCAGCACAGCAGACACATTGTGGTCTATACCAAGAACTGACTGTGAGCAAGCTGTAGAAAACCTGGACTAGGTGCAAAGTTTTGAGATTTTGGCAGGCATCTGTAACAGCAGTAACTTATTTCAGTAATAGTCTATTTAATATATCCACAGGTTCTTCATAAACCCTAGTGCATGAACATATGCTATCACTTTCTGGATTGGAACACTTCCAGGAAGTTTTAAGGCTTCCTGGGTCATTGCTTTGAGCAGCCCTTCCCTTGCCACAGTGTGCATCAGTCCTGTCACCGTGATGGGATTCTACCCTACACTGGGCCTTCCAGCTATCTCCAGTTGTTACTCTCACTCTCAGTAATAATGGTTCAGCAGATGTGGTCCAAAACCTGCTTATCACCTCACATTTTGCTTAACAAACTTTCCTATGTCGAAAGGCAGTTTGCAGTATGTCAGAAATTGTCATTACTCTGTTGAACGCATGTAGGGGAATAAAGACAGTAATAATCTCATACACACTGAATAACTGCCTAAAGGGAGTGGTTGTTCATGAGGGCATCACATTGTATTTGAGGCAAGCAGAAAGTTAAGTTGTTTTGTAACTTACCTCTATAAAGATATGTCAATAAAGGATGCAAAACTCATAGCTGGCCTTGAGATGTTGAACACACCCACTTACCTTTTTTTTTTAGCAGGCAAACAGGTAAGTCTTATCAAAGATTACTACTGTAAATTTGCATTGTTATATCTGTTTTTCTTGCTTTAACTGAGCAGGGAAGCAAGCTTTTTGCTTTGCCACAATTTCTATTCATTTGGATCATGAATTCCTTGCTTTATCGCATTTACTGTATTTTTATAGTACATCTGTCAGGAAGGAGAAGTGCCTCACTCTTCCCCATGTTTGCTGAAATACGTAGCTGGAAAGGACCGCTGTCAGCATGGCAGCAAATGCTCTAGCTAAGACAGAGGAAGCGACTGATCCTGCCTGGAGTTAAGCCTCTCAAAGCAAAATGCTCTCCATTCCTGCATGCTCAGCTGGCTCCTCCTAATAATAGCTGCCGAGTGTGATCAGTCCGTGTCTTTCCCATGTGCCATGTTGCTGCCTGACCTGGACTGTTACCAAAGCAACACAACACAGGAGTCAGACACATGTCACGACACCTGGTGAAGAAACGAGGGTGAGCGATCCATGGGGTAACCGCCAGAATGACCCTCTCCTATTCTCAGGCACATTGGCCACACTAGGCCTGTATGCCTGTGTCCTGAAACGTGCTTGTTGTTCTCTGTATAGTTTTGTCATTCTCAAATGTCCTTGTTTGAGCAATTTATTTCTGAAGTTGTGATCTTATTTGTTTTGCATTACATATGCAATCATGTCTTGGCCTCTTTTGCCTCCCACTGTTAGAAGGAACGAAAATGGAATGGTTTAATTTTTACTTGTTTTGGCCAAGAAGACTAATCAAGACGAGACTAATTAGACATATTAGACAATATTGCACC